TGTGGTATTTAGAGCTTGAATTGCTTTGAGTGGTAGTGGTTAGGCTGGTAAGAATTAAAGCCGAAAACTGATCAGTCTAATCTAATTGGAGCACATTATATCAGTTGGGTCTCTAGGGAAGTTGAGAACCCCATCAGGAAGATCTGGACTATGGTCCCAGCTTGCATGTTTTGGTGTTTTTGGTGTGAAAGGAATAGAGAGATGTTTTGATGGGGGTATCAACTCTCAACTCAAATATGTTCGCTCAAAGCTATTGGTTAGCCGGTTTAGCTGGCTAACTTTTCTCCAGTAGTACTGACTCGTTCATGGATTTTCTCAGTTCCTTACTGCTTTGGCCTTCAATTTTTTTTTTTGGTAATCTGGACTGATATTTCCTCTTTTGTTGTAACAATTGCATCCAATGGAAGCTCTTTCTAATGAAGCCCCGCTTCATCAAAAGAAATTGGAGTACATTAATTTGTCAAATTGAGTTTGATCTTAGTTTTGTTTATAACTGCAATACATCCATTAATACTAAATGTACTTTATGTGTTACCAGTTGTCCATTTCCTAGCGAAGTATATGCTAATAGAGGCTTTGGCTTATCCCATGTCTGCATTCTAGTCGAGGGAAGAATTCTGTATTTCTAAAACAGAGATAACAATTAGAATTTCTGAATGTGATTTGTTGTTGCCTCCAGAATAAGTTGGCATACTGGTTTTCTTAGGCTTCAACTTATCTTCCCTGCTCTAATTAAATATCTTGTACCATTGCCTCAATGCCCTATTCCCTTGTGAAATAGCATTGTCAAGGATGTCCCCGTGTCAATTGATTTCCTTTCGATGCCCTATTCCCTTGTGAAATAGCATTGTCAAGGATGTCCCTGTGTCAGTTGATTTTCTTTTCAACATTTTTTTGATATTTATCATCTGTGTAAATGTTTGAAGAATGTGATTATAGATGCGACATCTCTTTTTTGCAGAGTGAAAGCTCAGGTGTGTGGATTAATGCGCACAATAGAGATTTATCTAGTTTGCAAGCAAGTTCGTTTTATAATCTTCCTCAGGGTCAAGTGGCTCTAACACCCACTCAACCAGGTCATGGAACTTTTGCTGGTGTTTATCACCCAGCTCAACCAGTTACAGCATCAACTGTTCATCCACTTCTGCAGCAGTCCCAAACAATAGCTGGTCCAGTTGATATGGTTGGACCAACCGGCAATGTTTATCAACGGCCTCAGCATGCACAGATGAACTGGCCAAGTAGTTATTGAGGAGCTATTCTTTTGTTCGCAAAGCATAAAACAAGAAGAGAAAATTGTCATTGGAGTTTTTAGAGTTGCAACATGTTTTGATGTGGAGGAATGGTTCCAGCAAATGTTGGGAAGAAGTGTGCAGTCTAACTGTAAATTAAGAAGGGTGTGACATAGAAGAGAACTTCACCAAAGGTCTCTTCTTTGCTTGGACTGAGGATTTAAATGGTGAATCCTCCTGTAACTGATAGTGGCAGATTTTAGTTGAGGCAGTTATATGCCGATTGGTTTTGTTTACGACTTTATAGCCTTATATAGTTTGAACATTTTGGTAGAATAACCATCAGAGGTTAAACCTTTTTCTTCCCTATATATTTCTTCCTTTTGATAGGATTTTAGGTCTCTCGAAAGCAATGAGGTTTCTTGGTTTTTTTTTTCATACATCCTGCTTTCGTTCGTATCTTTGTACCTGTAAATTGATTTTAGAGGAACTGTTGTAATTGGTGATTGGTGCAAAGAAAAATGCAGCGTTATTTGCAGTAAATTTTGTGGTGAACAATTCACTGTTAGTCTTGGCACTCTGGGAATGCAGTGCCAGAAAGGGTCTGCAGAAGACAGAAAATATGAACTGTCTTCCTATTTGCATTGTTTTCGTATAATGAAATGTTTGTTTGTGTCTTTGTGAGATGATGAATGCCTGGATTTGCTTAAGAAATGCCTGAATTTGAAGAGAAACAACGTGCAAGTGCAAGTTACTACACATTGACAAATGTACTAGTGCTGGGATGCACTTGTCAAAAATGACATTTATACGTCTTGTTCTGAACACATGATTAAGTGGTTCTTTACTAGCTTTGTTTCAAGGAAATGTTCTCAACCGTCTTATATGGATGGATATGTTAACTACACAATATGTTACTTTTAATAACATTACATCAACCTCAATTGGTTATGACTTTTTGAGGCTAATGTACATGTATAATCGGAGGAGTTAGTTAACTTATGAGAACATATGGAGAAACTTTTGGCAAGTATTTAATGAAAATATTTGATCAATTGATAAGTGCAATTGTTTAAATGAAATTTTCTATATAAGTATGTCTCGGAAGTGTTATTGCTAGACATCCAAACAAGTGCAAGACAACAACAAACTATGAGTCAAATTATAGGACAAAGTGCCAAGAATATCAGACATGTCATAATAAGAATAGTACATTTATATTTCCATACATAATAATCACTTGGGTCCATTGGACCTTGGAAACTCAAAACTATACCTAGAATGAAGAGCATTTCGTCGAAATATAACTATTAATACAATAAGACTAGACGATTTGAGAACTATCATAAGCTTGTCAACAAGATTTTAACGAAGCTTTGATGAGGGAGAGGGGATGCCTTCTCATACCCGCTCTTATAAAAGCCCAACACAAAAAAGACTATGCTAAATAGGAAAAAAACGCGATAAAAAATCTCATATCTAATTATTTATACTTCAACTAAATGCAAAAAGACTAACTCTACATATACACACACATGTATTCTCATGAATCTTATTAAAGGAATTAAAAAATAAGAAGAAAACTTTCTCAAGTTTAGGAGACTTAATGATTTATTATAGGTATATACAGTGTAATTTTCTGATAATTATTTAGTAAATATGGCCGCCATCAATTTAAAAAACTATTCTTAGTTGGTTGAGATTGACCAAATGAATAATAGTATATTTCTAGGTATAATTGGTAGGTAACCAAACCATTTATCAACATATGAAGTGTCCAAAGTAATTTTAGGTTTGGAAATCCTTAATATATTGTTGGGAAAAGGGTAATGGATATATGGTATATTCTAGCCAAGTTCAAAGAGCTGCTAGTTTATTACCTTCTTTCGTTTCGATTTATTTATTTTAATTTGACATAATAAAGTTAAAAAAAATAAAAAAATATATTTAAATTTTATTGTCTTAAACTAACGATGTGTGTAACGTATCATTATGCTCTTTTAATCTTATAACTTTAAATTACACTACAAATAGAGGATGTGATTTAATTTATTTTTTTTTTAAAATGAACAAATTAAAACAAAACTATCTTCTTCTATATATATATATATATATATATATATATATATATATTAGTTACTTTTAACTATTAGCTTATGATCTTTGTGATACAAACCTATGGAAATTACTCTTGCTATTGATCGTCTATGCAATTCAAATTTAATTTAAAAGGGACTATTAAGGATGTATTATTATATTGTTATAAATCTAATGAATAAGTGGATAGTCCATAAACTTAGTACATGAACGATCATTCATATTCACTAGGTTTCATGAATTTTTTTGGATAAGAATATATCTGTTTATTATGATATAACCTTTGGAGTGATATTTAAATAAAGTGTATTTGG